AAAAAAATGTTAATTTTTCTTAAATAGTATTTAGTGTAACAGCATTTCTTATAAGATTTTTTTCCTCTGATAGAGATAATCGCTTTGAATCTGCATGTATGACTAGAATATGTTGATTACTGAATAAATTTTAGGATTAATTTTTTTTAATTTTAGGATTAGAATAAATTTTTCATTATATAATCATTGCCTCTCTCTCTTTTTCTCTTTCCCCCTCTTTTCCTCCTTCGAATTTCAATTCGCTCATTATTAATACAAAGTAATTATGTACTAATGAAACAATTTTTATTATCACTAACTTATATTTTATCTTTGATGCAGAATGTTATATTAAAATAATTTTGCACGCATTTAATATATATTTTATTTTTTTTAGATTTTATTTGTTTAAAATACAGTTTAGAGTACTGCTTTTGTTGTATGTAATTAAGCGTCACCCTACATATCCAAAGATTTAACGAGCGCGAAAAGATTTTTTCTCGTCTAGTACTTATATTGAAAAAATTTCTCAGAAGTGAGACACTACTAATTATAAAAATAATCTACAGTTTTCAAACTATCGACGAGTAGTGATGATGTTAATAAACATACTGTTCGAATTATTTCAAAAATATTATATAATTCTGCGAATATGGAAGAAATAATTAAAAGTTATAACAATCTTAACAAATATTAAAATCTTGAAGAATTTTGTCTTAATACATTTCATAACATTTTTCTTAAATGTTTTAAAAATAAGCAATAATATTTAAAATTCTGAATATAACATTTTGAATTAATTCTAATAAAACACTGATTATATAATTTTTTATAACTTAATCTAAAAAATAATATATATTCTATATGAAATGATATAAAGTACTTTTGTTTCATGAGAGGTTTTAATTGTTCGTGGCTTTCAAAGTTTTCAAAAATTTCAAGACTTTTGCATTGTTAAGATTATCATTTTTTGAATAAAGACAAGTTTTTTTTTAATTCTTGAAGGATCTGAGATTTCAAATGATGCCAAAATGATAAGAAACGTTACAATAACGTTACAGAATCGCTCAAAAAAATCAAGTATACATCATTACTAAAGCAAGTAGACTCTCACAATGTTCACTCTTAGATGAAATAGATGATAGTCAATCTCTACTTCCAACACATAAGTAACTTTCTGGCTTATAAAACCTGCATCAAAAACTAAAATTAAAAAAAACAGGAAAAAATTATATATTACACAAGGCTGTGCTCCAAATTTATTGCCAGCGTTCAAAATGCTACAGTTACGTGCACTAGAGATTTTCAATATAGGCAATCAATTTTGAAACATAGCCACAGTCACACAGATCTGTCGCGCATCACGTTTATTCGTTCATTCACTCATTTACACACATATGATCAGCCGCTTCCTTCTCGTGTGTTATCTCCGGTCGCTACGACCGCCGTTCCTGTAGCCGCCGCGTCCGCGCGAGTTGCTCTTTGTCGTCGGCGCCGACTTCGTCGTCGAGTCCGACGAGGAGTATCGCACCGAGGTACCGGATAGTCCTGAACCGCTGCCACTGCCACCGCTGCCTCCACCGCTGCTGGTGGTGTTGCCACCGTTGCCGCTGCCTCCACTGCCGCCGTTTCCGCTCTTTGCGGTCGTCGAACTTGCCGCGGATCCGCTACCAGGAGTTGTTGTGTTACTTTGACTTGCCTATCACAAATTGCACATATTTTATTTCATTCATACACTGGGTGCTTGGTGTTATTGAGATGGCGAGATACTCAAGTTACATTAATCTTTTCCTATGTTCTATAAAGACTCGATATAATTACATTTAAATTACCTAATTTACATAACATATATTTTTTTTCATATGACATATATTTTTATATATTTTTTTTATTAATTAGTGTGTTAGTCTTTTAGTAAATAAGAAAAATAGTTAAAAGAAATATAATTTGTAAAATAAATGTTTTAAACTAAATAAAATAAATAACTAAAAGTTTAAATAACTAAAAAAATTTTAATTATTTAGTAAAATTATAATAAGGATTCGTTATTCTCATATCAAATTAGCTCAAGATATGTCAGCACTTTCATATAGTAATTTACAATTGGCAAAGACGAGGGATACAGAGCGATCCCTCTGAATATTGAATTTAAGAACACAGTCTCGCATGTTTTATCATATTTTTAACAGACAAATGTATCTGGAGAATAATAGTTCATGTTTTTAATTTACATATTAAAGTTATTTATCTACAATAGACAACGACATTAAGTCCAAAGTTTAAAATGTCTTAAAATGATTAAACAAAAGCGCTAAAAATAAGCGATCCCTATTCATGGCATTATCCTTTAATTTGTGTTTTAGATTTTACACTTGTTGCTATTTAAATACATATCTAAATAGCTTTGATATACATAAAATAGGAACGTTAAATGTTAATGCTCAGCATTGCTTGTTAAAAAAAAAATAGCTACAAAACCGCTGCACAAAATAGCGTTCTTCATTCAATATTGGAGGGATCGCTCTACTCATCTTTCTCGTCACTGTAAAAATTATAAAATTATTATATAAAAACACTGACGTATCCCGAGTGTAATTTGATACAAGAACAATGAGAAGAACTCAACCGAAGGCGAAATAAATAATTACAAAAATTCGTGCCGCGCAGTGCCGCGCTGACTCGCCGACGGAATCGTCACGGGTGATGTTCTTAATGAGTTATGTACCAAAGGCTGCCGTCCTGATTGACCCGAGATACTGTTGGCATTGCCGTTGTTGGTGATGCTGTTGTTGATGTTGCTGCTGGGCGGGCCGGAGCCACTTTGATCCCGATTAACAAGCTGCTGCACCAGCATCGGATTCGGCTCGCTCATGTTCACCTGCTCGTTGATTACCATACAAAATTCGCCAATCTTCTGAATGTCACCGTTCTTTCCCGAATAAAGGGTCAGACATTGTCGCCAAACGGACGCATAACCCTTGGTAAGCCGTACTATATCACCCGGCATCAGGAGTTGTCCAGGTTCGTCCCAGATGGAGACGTTCATGCAAGCGGTGCTATCGGCCACTTTGAACGTTCGAACTTCGCGGTTCTCTTTGGTTATGGTAGGATGGCTAACCTCCAAAACGATAAACACTACGTTGATGTTCTTCTGCCCCGCGCGGATGTCCTTTATCTGCACGTATTCCATCGTAACCCTCCACAAAATCGCGCACAGAACAAATATATATACATACATACACACACACGCACACTCACACACATACACACACCCCACACACACTCACACGCACACACGCGCGTATAGGGCGGATCGAAAATAACAGAATGTCCTTACGGGAGGTACACCGTTCGAGTCCTGCGACGTGATTTGACGTGCTTTCTTGCAACACGAAATAGCACCGACAATGACTGGACGACACTGTGTCGTAGAGTAGGTCGAACCGCCCTCCACCGCCCCTCTCCCATCCGTAAAATGAGACCTTCAAAGATTTTTCTCTCTCGCTTTTTTAACCGTACCGCTCGTGCTATCCAGAAAGATTTTTCTTGGCTCGAATCTACGCGCTTGAGATAATCGAATTATTCGATTCGAATTCGACGAAAGCATCAGACAAAGTGAAAGAGAGCCAGAGCGCCGTCATCGAGAACGACGCGAGCCGCGCGTTGCCATGTTGCGCGCGTCACCTAGAACGCCATCGTGTGACGCAACTACGAAACTACCATTTCGCTGATGACAGCGACAATCGTCGATAGTAACATCATCTATGAAACGAAAGAGAAGTTCCATGCTTCAGTTGGTGGCCCTGGATGGAATGTAACGACGCCGCGTAGTTCGTGGCTTTTTTTGCATGACAGAAATCTTATCGTTCGGCTGGTTTGGCAGTGAAATAAGATTTGCGAATGGATTCGTGAATTCGTTGTACGACAGGTAGTTATCGTATAGTTAAGATTCCTACAATTACGTCGCAAATAATGTGAAAAGAAGCCAATCAAAATGAATTCCGCGATGATAACGATGTTGACTCTGTAATCCCTAACCTTTGATCCTCGAATTAATTACTCATGAGATTTTAATCTCATTTGTTATTGTATTTATTTCATGTATTAATCGTTTGAATATTTTAGATGAAATGCAAAATGAATATTATCGCTTAGAATTTGTTTTCTGTAAGAATAATTATAATTTTGTGTTTTATCGCACGACTGAGATTATCCGTATACGGTTATTTATGAGTATTTCCAACAAGAGACGCAGATTATTATTTATCTTCTCTAATTGGATGGTGTCTTTACTCTGAGTTTGATATAGTCAACCACTTCTTTGCCTCTACTTTTTACTATATAGCTATATAAAAGAATAAATGGAATACTAATACATGAATTAAACTGAACCAGAAACTTTAAAAAATGAAAGATAATGCGATATTATTATATCGAACTAAAGGAAAAACACATTTATCCTGACCGAATCATTATAAGATGTAAGAGACAGATGACAGTGTAATATAAACTGTTTTTCTTTTAGGAGATATAGTTGGCACTAATCATTCTTTCTTTATTATTTATTGTCAAGAAGTATAGAATAATGTTTGTGTTGATTGTGTTGAATTATAAGTTTGTTTTATATAGCTAAACTGGTATATACTTTTGGAATTTAAACTGAAAAACTTAGATGTTTTTCGAGATTTGACAAAAGCAGGAAAGAAAATTTTAGTATAGAATAAAAAATATACTTTATTATATTCTTGTTGTTTGTTAATAATAATTGAAGATAAATGATTCACTGTATTACATTGTGTTATCACTGTTTCTGACTGGAAAGCACTCTTAATTAGATAACTCAATTACAATAACAAGAGATAAAGTTTTAATTAGCTTCAATTATCATTAATTTTGTTAAAGTCAACACAATGAGTTATCATCGAGGAAGTGGTAACAAGCCGAAAGGCTTCGGCTTCAGTGGCTTCCAAATGTCTGGAACAAAAAGAAGTGGCACAAACATACCTCCACCTCCACCAAATTCTACTCTGAGTAAACAAGGCTATCACACGATGAATGCCATTACGGAAAATGCCTTGTCTGCATGTTGGGGCATGCCTAAGAAGCGCAGCAAGACCGAGGAAGAGTTAGTATTATAATTTCATATACAAACGATGCATTTGCAAAAAAGCAGCTACAATTATAAGACTTTTATATAAGCAGTTCTTACCCTTATTAGTTTTATATTAGATCTAAATATATAAACCAATCATATTTAAAACAATTTTACAACAGTTGTGCAAAGCTGCTTTTTCTGCTAAACAATATTTTTCTTTTGAATACAATCAATGTTATAAAAAGATCATATATATTAAGCATTATGATTCCTATTTAAATTCAGATACTTTGAAGACGATGACGAACCTCCAACTTCATCGTTGGAATATATACCCGCGCCTGGTTCTCCCACATATGACTTGATGAAGAAATCAGCAACGAAGGATAACAGTGATAGTGAGGAGGATACTTTGGATGCTTTCATGGCAGGTATTGATGCAGAAGTGAAGCGAAACAATTACGCGGCTCAGCGTGGTGATAATCGTAAAGAAGATAAATCTAAAGGATTTCGGGCAGATATTGATGGAGAAGACGATGAGGAAAGTTACTACAGGTATAAGTTTATTAGATATTATTAATCACACATACTTAATATAAAATTTTGATAAAATATAATACAATCCCCATCTTTGTTTTTCTCCTTAAGGTATATGGAAGAAAATCCAACTGCTGGTTTGCAACAAGAAGAATCCGATCAAGAGATTGAATACGATGAAGACGGAAATCCTATTGCGCCACCGAAGAAGAAGGAGATCGATCCATTACCTGCAATTGATCATAGTGAAATAGAATATGAATCATTCGAGAAGAACTTTTACAACGTGCACGAAGAAATTGCAAGTTTAAGCAAACAGCAGATCGATGATTTAAAAAAGACTCTGGGTATAAAAGTATCCGGACCATCTCCGCCAAATCCGGTAACGAGTTTCGCTCATTTCGGCTTTGACGATGCTTTGATTAAAGCTATCCGTAAAAACGAGTATACACAGCCTACGCCTATTCAGGCACAGGCGATTCCTGCAGCCTTAAGTGGGCGGGATATAATAGGTATAGCAAAAACTGGTAGCGGTAAAACAGCAGCATTTATTTGGCCGATGTTAGTGCACATTATGGATCAACGTGAATTGAAAGCTGGAGATGGCCCGATTGGTTTGATTTTGGCGCCAACGAGAGAATTGTCTCAACAGGTATCACAATCTCTTATATTTTCTCTTATATAATAGAATGTTCAAAAAGTTTACCATGAATGTTTTTTTTATTTGTTTATAGATTTATCAAGAAGCAAAGAAATTTGGAAAGGTTTACAATATTCAAGTATGTTGTTGTTATGGAGGTGGCAGCAAGTGGGAACAGAGCAAAGCATTAGAAAGCGGTGCAGAGATTGTAGTCGCTACTCCTGGTAGAATGATCGATCTAGTTAAAATGAAAGCAACGAATTTAACTAGAGTTACATTTCTAGTTCTGGATGAAGCTGATAGAATGTTCGACATGGGGTTTGGTGAGTAAATGCATATTATAATATACACTGATAGAGAACGCGGAGAGAGTATCAAATTCAATATTAAACAAAAATAATTTTGAAAATATAAATTTTGAAAATAACTATTTATAGAGATAATTTTATTATAAAATTTATTCTGTATAGAACATTTTTTATATCTTAAATAGTTTTTGAGATTATTGAAAGAAAGAGATTAATAAGAAACCGTTTTACTTATATTCACTTCTTAAAATTTGTTTTACACCAAATGATATTTTCTCAATTTGTTTATTGTTTCATCTATATATATATATATATAT